CCCCAAAACCCCAAAACCCCAAAACCCCAAAACCCCTTCCTGAAGAGGTTTTATAGAAATTTATAGTTTTATAAAACTTTCCAATATGAGCTACAAGCGGTTTAAATCACCTGAAATTGCAATACTTCAGCCTAAAATTTTGGACTTTAAACCCAAGAATTTTGCAAAAGGTGCTATCGACAATTCTAACATTGTTGATGGCAGCAAACCAGTCGTGAAGGGTCAGAGATTACCGAATGTTCATGAAGACTATTCTAACGCTTTGATTCCAAATATTCCAGCCAGAATGTCCAAGAATATGAATCTAAACCAGAACTCTAACTTTTGCATTGAAAATCAAAATTTAAGGTATTTTCACGTTTTCAAACTGTCAAGATATGACAGATTAGTTTTACTGAGTTCATTAGAATTCCAATAAAGAAAGATTTCTCATGGAATTTCTTGCTTTAAAAATGCACATGATGTTTATTTACTGTTTAGGAAGATTTTCTCAAATACAGAAATCAACGAGCAAATTCCTAAAAATATGCAACAGCTTAACTCTAAACTGAAGAACTTGAGGTTGATACTAGATGGACAAGATTACATCCTCTCTCCAAAAGCCAGAACTAAATAATAAACACATTAAGTTATCCCATGGTAAGGATTACTGCCTCAAAATAGAGCTCAATAGTTTGATAAAGTTGAAATAGTCCTAGTTTGGGCAATGAGCCTGCTGAGGGCTCTAACAAGTACTTTATTCTTATGAATTTATCTCTTAGCACTAATCCCACAAATCATTTTGTCAATATCACACAGATAATTCAGAAAGAAGAAATTAAGCCAGATGATTTAATCCCTCAAAATCATTTTCCCAGCCAAGCAGATCAGTAATTTCAGTTTTATGAGTCTCTAGGTTCTCTTCTCAAGGAAGGGAGAGACTATCACTCTCCAAAAGGATTCACACAAAAGGCTTTTCAAAGACAAACCAGAGGATTTCTAATAATTTCAGGTTTTCCAAAAATGTTCGAAGGAACAAATTTATTGGTCACAAGAATATTACCTTTAAGCATGCCCAGAATAAGAGATCTCTTGAGAAATTATGTAAGATAGGAATACGATGAAACATTTAGTGAATATACAACTTAATACCAAGCCTTATGAGACTAACATCTTGCAGGCGGAGCAAGAAGTTATCTCAACAGAAAATAGGAAAAATAGAAATATGACTCAGCTAGACCTCGACCAGTCTGATAAAAACACTTTCTACAAAACCTTCAATTCTGGAGTAGAGAGAAGAAATAAAATCACTGGTAAAATCATTCACGGTTCCAATATTAAAAATGTAAAGTGTTGCCATGAACATAGTAGAAAAGAGTCGCCAAATCCACAGTGAACATGGAACCCTTAGTTGTCAACGCCAAGAGCTCTAAAATTCCAAAAATTGAGGAAAGTAAATTTGGCAATAAACTGTAGGATGACTTTCACCTATCCTTGCTTTTGCTTCTCAAGGCAGAAACCATACATTTTCTGTAAACTATAAGCAAAAACTCATGGATCAGAAAGATCGCCAATAAACTCTAATAAATTTAACAAAGAAGCTAGAATTTGTAAAATTAGTAGAAATTATCCAAGAAAGAAGTGGAGGATAGACGAGAATCACCCTAATGGGCTTAACAAAGACATCCAGATACATCTGACTAGCCAGGGTATAATTGAAAAGGTACCCTAGATCTTTCATTTCTAGTCTTCAAGAAATAGCCAAAGGAGTGGTGATCCAAAGCCGCCCAAAATGTCGCCCTTAAAACCTCCAGAAATGTTCAAGATTAAAGTAACAACATCGAAAAGGAAAAAACTGTTTGTTAAAGTAATTTCTTGTATAATCTTTAAGGAGAACTCTAAAGAGGTATATCACAAAGATAAGCCATGGGATACAGATATGCATGGATGGGAACAAAGTAGCCATCCCGGGTCTGACTATACTTTTGAGAGTAAGAAGCTATAGTCCCTCAAGAATGTACACACCTCTTGATAAAATCATCACCATCGGTTTTAAAATTATAAATTATTGAATAAACCTAAATACCATATGGGGTTTTGGGGTTTTGGGGTTTTGGGGTTTTGGGGTTTTGGGG